AATATACTTAGTATACTTAATTAAAGCTGAAATTGATAGAATATCAGAATATATAGAAAATAATTTCTAAGAAGAAAGAAAACTTTAGAAATCAAGTAGTATTATATATTAACTAATATCGAATACTACTAATGTATTAAAATAAAAATTTGAAGTGAATGTAATAAATTTTAAAGTTTTATTGATTATTAATTCGGTATGATAATTCTGTAAAATTATATATTCAAAGAATTTCGAGATATTTTAATCTATTAGCAGTTATATATGTTTGATATTATTTTATAACGTAAAAATTATACTATTATTTCCTTATTTTTGAAATAATAGTGTCTGAGTAAATAACTGAGTAATGGATAATTTGATTTATAATTATTTTAGCTATATATAGTATTAGAAATTTAAGTAATATCTAATTGTGAATATTTGAAATTCTAATTCAGGTGTTTAAAGTTGAAAGTGATAATTAATGAAACTCATATAATATTCCTTTATTGATATTATATGATGAAAAATGTTATAATAAATTAAACAGAGGCGAACTCAATAAGTAGATTTGATATGTTATTATTAAATTATAGATTAATCATATAAAATATAGAAAGGGTTCAGTATTCTATTAAAATATATATTACAAGGATTTCTAGAGTAGCTTATTTTTTTATAGATAGTCAATTTTCAAATAATAAATAATTATTTTTTATCTTTAGAGTCTTTTGGACAATTATTTCTTGATTGTTGATAAGATAATTATTAATATTAAAAAGTATATAAAGATTATATTAATTATAATAACGTTTATTATACTAATTATTATACTCACTCTTATAATAATTTCAAAACTATATTAATAGATGTAAAGAGTCAGCGCGTTAAAAAATAACGAATGACTAAAGTTATCAAAAGAAACAAACAATTAATAAAATGTATTCCTCTACTATCAGAAATTTATTCAAAATAAATCTATATATTTATTATCTTACTGTTATATTATTGAATAAATCAATAGACTATTTTCATATTTCTTGAAAATAATCGAATTTCTACTATGTACTCTAAAAATAATCAAATTTTATTTTCTATAGATTCTAATTGAGAATTTTTAATCAAGAAATAGTTATATTTTAATCATTTTAAAGTAAATTGAATTAAAGAGAATTAATTATTAAATCAAATGTTCGTTCAAATATCAAAATATGTATAAGAAATGTTAAGTATAATGTTTTAAGTGAGATAGTAAAATCCATTAAAACATAATTTATTCTATAGTTATACTTACAGTTTTTTTAAACTCTTCTTTTCTAGAGATTAACTATCATAAACTAAATCCTCGATTCCATTATATATTCTAGAAATTGATTCTATTATAGAAAGTATAAGATATAAGAATCATATCAATGCAACTTTTAGGAAAAGGGGTAGTTAATCTATAATCAGATAGTATGAATACAATTGATTTCAACTAGATTTTTTCTTATAGTAAGGAGACTCCTATTAATATTAATTTAATTACAAAAGTATTGAATGCTTTAAATGATTCTCAATTTAAGCTTTGATTAAAGAAATTAAATAATAAAAGGTTATTAACGAGGATAAGTAGTTATATTAAGTTGTTTTAAAAGTTGAAAGGTCTCTTAGTCTTATTTTTAAAGATATTATTTTATAATCTCTTATTAAAAGAATATTTATTTAATAAGAATGAAATAAATAAATTAACATGTATTTTAGAATGAATAAATTAAATAAAATGAGTAAAGAACTGTATCACGCTAAAAGTGACGCCACCAATAGCCGTAGACTAATTGGGTTTATATAGGATTAATTCTCTCGTAACACACCCCCGAGATTACTAACTAACTAATTATAAACAATAATCTCTTTATACTAGCTTTATTAAGTTATATATGCACAAATCTTTTCCTATATCCTTATACTACCGAATCTAAATTTTCTTATTGAATATATTTAATAAGCTATGTAAATATAATAAAGCAACAGAGTAGATTCTTTATATTTAGTTTTAATAGATTAGAATCAGATAATTAAATATAGGTCTAATGAAATACCTTCTTATAAATAGATTTATCAAAAACCTTGCAAGAGAGTACGGTAAAGTAAAGAATTATATTATTTCATTATGAACACATACCGGGCTTATAACTATCACACTAAAAGTAATGTTACCAATAGCCTTAGGCTAATTGGATTTATATAGGCTTAATTCTCTCGTGACAAACTGAAAATAAGATCATAGAATATAAATGAACTAATTCAAACATCATTTAATAGCTTCTATATTTGATACTTAATTTTGATGAAATTATATAAAACGAGATCTTATTATTAGAGTGAAAGTAAGATGATAACTAGTATAGAATATAGGTAGAAATGAATTATGGGACTTTGTATCAATCTTTTTAAACTCTTCTTCTCAAATTATAACCTATGTAGAACTTCTTTGTTTCAGATTAATAATCAACTCAATTTCGATTTCATGTTAATATTTGTAATAGTACATTTTTTTGAGTTATCATTTTTGAAAGCTTCAAAAATTATTAAATAGTTAATTATTAGTACATTAGTTTATTTTTGAAGCTTTATTAAGTCCTCTAGCAATACGCTAGTCACATAATGCTTATATCTTTATTTTATAAGTTTTAATTCTTTTATAATTCTTGAGAAAGTCATACCGCAGTATAAAAGTATTAAATTAATTCAAAATCTTTTACAATCATTAAAATTGAGAAAAGATTACTTTCTTTCTCTTATTCTATCAATATCAATTCTCTGTTCATAGAATAGTAATCTATATTCAATGAAATTTTAATCAAAAATGTTTGAAATCTTTAAAATCTCGAATCATTCAGAGGAAATTATTTTCTTTCTTTTATTTTATCAAATTTAATTCGTTTTTAATACAATAACGATTTGTATTCAAGAATATATTTAATAACTTTTTTTTCTTTCGAAACTTTTGTTTTCGAAACCTATTTATTATTGAAAGTATATAAAACCTACAAGATTAGAATTCGACGGCATTTCGTTAGTATATGATAGTCGACATATATAGAATTGAGAAATCCTAAGAATCCTAAAAATCCTGAATAAAACCGAAAATCGTAAAATGGGAAAAAGTTTTGAAAAATCTGAAAACTCTGAAAATAATTGAGAATGCGGAGCTCTACTAGCTTGTAGCTAAGTCCTCGAAACCTAAAAGAAATCTTGAAAATCGTGAGATCAGGAAAATATCTAGAAGATTAGAAGTTTCAAAAATTCATTTCTCTGTATTTACTTATTAAGATGAAGTAAGTTTAATAAGATATCGGTTTTTAATATAGTATCAGTACTTTATAACTAGTTTTTAGTAATGTCTTTATTTATTATAAAATGATTAATTATATTTTTCTCCATATAAAACGTCTAAAATATTGTATAAATATATTATCTGTTTTTATAATTGATTTAAGATCTTATATGAAAATTTTTGTCTTTTTAATGATATAATATAAGTATACTACCATTATTCTTTAGGTATTATTGATGATAGAGTATGCTTTTCAAAAAAGAGATTTTTTTTTCTAATATTCCTTTTTATATTTTTCTGATTTAGATTTGATTCTTTTTTTTTTCAATGTATCATAAAAATGTATCATAAAAATGTATCATAAAAATGTATCATAAAAATGATTCAAAAGCGATTCAAAAAATCTATACTCAAAAGATATTTCTTTTTAGTTTTCTTTAATTCAATATAATGAGATAGAAAACATCTCAATATGAATGATACTAATTATATATTAAAATTGTGTTATAAATGTATCATAATCTATTGAGATTCAAAGTTTTCAAAGTTTTCAAAGTTTTCAAAGTTCTTAGAATTATTCATAAAAAAACTCATCGATAGTTTATTCTATAACAATTAAATTAAAACATTGTTAAAGTAAATATAAGATAATAGTTAGTACAGAATATAAATATCAAGGAACTTTAAGCTTTTTTATGAATTTTTTCAAAGTTTTCCCAAAATTATAGTATATATAAATTCTTAACTTTGGATTAAGGCTCGGCCCAATGCCAATCCTATAGCGATACTCGTACAATATATTATCTTAACTATAAAACTAGAAAATTTATATAATTTTAAGAAATTATGGAATTATAGATTTAATTAATTATAACCTTGAAATTATATATAAAATGAAGCTGGCTTCCTCGATTGAATAATTTTATTAGTCTTATTTTTGAATAGAGCTCGTTTATTAAATGCTTCTTATCTAAGATAAATATATTACTTAATAAACTCTCAAAGAAAGAATTTTATTAAATAATAACTTTACAACCTGATAATTATCTTTGTACTAGATTCTATAATTAAAAAGAAATTATTAGATACTAAGATATATCTAAGTTATTATTGTATATTGTATTTAAAATATGAATCAATTTCAATTTAGAATAAATTGAGAATTTATAAGTCTCTAGGAAGACATCATTCATTCTAAATTTTTTTATAATAGCGTAATGTTTATCTTTCTTTTATACTTGAACCTAAAGCTAAAAAGAAGGTAACTGGTTTATATAGAGACTATGTATGTATAATTGTATATGAATAAAATATTTGATCTAAGCAATACTTATATAGTCTTTAATAATAATTAGATAATAAGATAGATCTAGTTACTTGTATAATTAATGCGTTTCATTTTTTCAGACGAATTCATAAGTATAGATTAATAAAACAATAATTGTCATGGCTCCTTTACCAGACCACAACAAAAGGGACATGTCTCATTTATTCAATTCTCTCTGTGATTCTCTTCTTTTACACAAATCCTATAGAATGAAGCATTTGTCCGAAACGATCTCCTTCCCTTTACATGATCTCGAAACTACAATACCAGGTGTTAGCAAAATGAACTCATTTGATTTTCGACTGGTCGTGGACAACAGCCAAGCGGACAGTGACCCTAGCTTATCCACCCCGACAACCATCTCAGTTATTGATGGCACAACTACAATCACAATCAAACCCGAACCCAAACCCAAGACTCGGATCACCACCACCACCCAAGACCAAAACAAAATCGAGGCCCAGGTCGCCTCCACAATTACATTCACAACTAAAACCAAAACCTAAGCCATCATCGTCATCATCATCATCATCATCTCCATCTCTATCAACGTCAATCTCCTCCTCCTTCGAGAATGACATCGAAATTTCCGACATCGCTTGCACACCCGCATCATTTAACTCTACTCCTCTTGCCCTTCTTCAATGCACTGAAGAATCATCCCAGGTAGAGAATAATCATCACCGCCCTAGTTTCTTTCCACTTGCACAAAAGCATCTCAAGGATGTATACACAAAGTTGAGATGTTATTCCAAGTCTACTCAAACAAGAATCCGAATGTCAAAACTTGACGAAGTCCTCGATTCTCGGAACGATTTCCCTCATTGTTGGACCGAAAATATTGCAAATACCTTTGCATTGACACATTATACTTTATCAGAAATTCTACCTTTGGTTCGAGATAATTCTTTTCTATCGCAAAAGCGTCAATCATTGTCAACTTGGAAGAGGTGAATTTATTTCCTTCTCCTTCATGCACACAACATGACAAGAGCTAACTTTTCATCTATATAAACAGATTCGAAGAGGAAGTTTTTTATGATACATTACTTCATAAAGGTAATACTCAACAAATCGAGAATACTTCGGGCCTTCCAACCTTAAGCGAATGGAGAGTTGTATCCCTACTCGAAAATCCCCAATGTCTTGGTTGTATTGCGTTTGCCGATGTCGACACAGATATGGGAAATGCGACTGCCGATATCGATAATACAAATAAGAATAGCATCGATAACTCCTCAACCCTTCTTCGTGTCGAGTTATTTTGTCTTTTTATATTATTAGCTCGACAAATCGATCCTCGAATGAATTGTGAAAATTATCGTCAATTGATAAGGGATGATGAGAAAGGAAATGGCTGGGTTACAAGATCGGTATGTACTATTTTACTCAAGACTCTTCAGTTTTTTCCAAACTTTGAAACATAAATTAATGTAGAATCCTAAAGGCTGTTACAATCTTCCTTACAAAAACCCATTTTCGAGTTGTTGAAGCGAGATTGAATGAAGGTACATGGGATCAGACTGCGCCGGTGGAATTACGTATTCATATCAGGAAGAGTATCAGATGGGACGAGGTGGATGTCAAGGATGAGAAGTATAACGAAGAACTTTGGAGAGAGCTTGTCAGTTGGTCATTCTTGTCAGCGGAGAAATCTAGCGATAATTAATGCAAGTTGATTTGGTTCAATGATACTACCTATCTCTTTGACTATCTTCATAATCTTATTACAGGTAGTATTGTTTGTCGTTGCTTTTGTCGTTGTGATAATGGTTAGTTTGTCGAAGAAGAGGGGGAAAGAGAAAAATGATTGAAAGTTTAAAATGGTGCTTAGCCCTCCAAGGGTACTGCCTTCGGGGCAGAATATTGCAATAGGAAGTACTCGAGAGCAGCGACCTTGGAAGATTTGAGAGTGTGTTGTTAGATAATTCGTGCAGGAAAGATGAGCATTATACCCACACAGCCTTATCCCGCGGTGGATCAGCTCTATCGTACTCGAGCCGCGTAAATTGACACGGACCTGACGCGTAAAATTTGTATATCAAGTGATATCTTCACCATTTCCGACGCATCATGCATCAAATAACCTTCTCTTGTACTTCTTCCAATTCCACAATACTCAACTCAGCGCAACGTCAATCATACATAAGAAAATAATCTATCATCATATTGTATTTGAAATTCCAACGTGCTCAACATCTCACCTATCAACCCCTAATCAATGCACACGAAAGCGGAACCAATTATTCACTGTCATGGATACTATTTCAACACCTCCATCGATCTTACCTCACTCACCCCACACACCAAGAAGCCTTGTCGACTATGCGCCTCACCCTGAAGAGCTTCATTATATCGATATCAGATTGCGACAGCATCAGCAGTATTTACCGACCCCAAATATAACTTCTTCTTCCAATTCCACAACGCCACAACCATCCCACTCGGAAGAAATTCCCACGCCCACTATTACATCTGCTAAGATCAACAACAACGACAATGATCACAAATACAAATCCTCCCTAAGAGTTCTTTCAGATTGGGGTCTCACATTCGAAGAAATTGATATTGCTCGTCACTGGGGCCAGAATCCGGATGAATCTCTCAAAGAAGAGGTTCACATGCAACTTCTCGCTGAATGCGCAACGTCGATAACTAATTCATAGAGTCTCGGCGACATTGAAGAATTATACAAGGAGTACGACACAAGGATGGCGCAATGGAATTCCACTATCAAAATATCAAATCAGAGCTTGGAAAAACGTCGAGCAGAGAAGGCACTTTCGGAGTTGGTGTCTAAAATGGAGTCGGCCGGGTACAAAAATGAAGAAATGAGGTGGGTTTCTAGGGTACTGAGTTATTCTGAGCAGACCTTTTGGGCTTTGAAGGAGTGGTGTGAGTCAAGATTGGAAAGGGTAAGGGGTGAAACTGAGTTGAAACAACAGATACGCATACTGAAGACCGATATCGAAACACGTGGATCTCCCGGGGCTAGCGGAAATACATCTGTAGGGGGAAAGGAGAGAGAGATGGAAGTAATAGGGGTTGAACCCGCGATGAAACTGCACCGGCGCATATCAGAGACGGTGATTGAGAGGCGCGGGGTTCTTGATCCACGAGGAAATACACAGGGAGGAGGAAAGGAAATTGAGACGAAGCAGACGAAGACAAGAAAGTCTCAACGGAATATTGACTCGCAGAGACATGCAAAGACGGAGGAAATGGAGAAGGAGACGAAGGGAATAAGGGCAAGAAAGTCTCAGCGGAATGTCACCTCCAGAAAACATAAGCTCAGTCACGATACTCAGGATCGTACTTCACAAAAAAACAGCATCCCACAAGATATGCCAGCTATTGGTACTTCAGAAGTTATGGAAGCCAAGAATACTAAAAAACTCACGCAAGCCACCAAATCCCCAGATTCCATACAAATTATCAACATCCTAAACTATCCACAAGATACTTCGGGTCAAGAGAGCATGCAAAAATCGGACACCTTTCGAAAATCTGCTAGTATCACCAACACTCGAAAACGCATATATACCAATAGCAATAATTCAGACAACGATACATCTCACACCAAAAGACTGCGTCGATCATCTTGACTCGGATCGATCCTTGATTCGGAGAAGAGCAAAGGTTGTTTTCGTAGATGAGGTTAAGATTACAAACACATCAAGTGAAGACATAGCGTGATTTACTTGGTATGTTGATGGCCTTTGTGATGAAGATTTTCTTGATGTGCTGGGGAATGGGATGGGCTGATATCAACTATTGATATCATAAACCAGTCAATATGATGGGGTAGAGAAATTATCGGTAGGGGCTGGGGATCATAATTCCTTTATTCTCTATTCGTTGTGCGGCTTCGTGATTTTTTACCTAACCAATCCTCTGTTCCATGTCAAGCCCATTCCAATCATTCCCATGGTTCGGGCTTGACGGGATAAGATAGCATGAGATTGGCTCAGAGATGGATTGATTGAAACTAACGGTGTTTATATTTATAAACCTCCAGAGTTTGTTGGGATACTCTGAAGTAAATGTTACTTAACTTCTTTCTTCTGGACAATTTGCGTTATAGATGGAACTTTTTATATCAATTAGCGCACTTCCCTAGCTTCCAAGTTCTCAGCTCGACTTTTGGAATGAGCATTATAACCGTGTTGACTCAATTGGTTAATTGATAGGTAGTTGCCATTGGACAAGATAGTTTGTTTGTACCCTGTCCGTCGTTTTATACCAATACTTCATTTTTGAGTAACAGAAACAAGTCAAAGGGATCTAAGTTGGTACATTCTTGGGCAACGGCTCGAGATTCACGCTGAACGTACTCATACATACTCATACTCACCACAGAAGTACATCAGACTTTTCCTAACTGAGATTGGTAGCTGTTATTTAATTTTTGCCTTTCGCGATATTGTACGTGTTTCTTTGGTGTTGATGTTTAAGATGTAGAAATTAGTAACAGTAACAAGATCCACCTTTGAATTGCTTTTAGTATTAAATTTGCACATCAGAAACTTCACATCTTCAACATACCTCGCTCCGCTAGGTCCCTCCAAGCATGTCCCATCATCATGTCTTTTACATCTCTGATTTTGACACTACACTTGACTAATGTAGTGATCAAATTGGAATACCAAATGACATCCTCCAGGCCCCCTATCATAAATTGAAGATATAAGTTGATGGTCATATGCCTTAATATAGTACGCCGCTCAATATGTAGTATATAGTCCGCAACCCTTAATCTACTCCCCTATTATATCTCTCAACCCATACCTTTCCGTCTCCGCCTCCCAATCATGTTCCTTACTTTCACCCATCACAAAATTCTCCCCAATGCCTTCTTCATATTTCTAGTCACCATCGAATGAACCCCAACCCTCTCAGTCTCATCGCCATTCTCAAAACTCTCGCCCCCATCAACCATCTTTCTATTCACCTCTTTGAATTCCCTCTGTGAGTCGGCTCTTTCCAAAACTCCACCCATAAGTTTTTCAGACGCATCGTATTCGTCTTCCTTTACAGTCCGCTGTCTTGGTTTCCTAATCAAGGAACTCTGTCTTTTTCCTTCAATAATCATAGGTCCCGAACGTATTTTTGACATCTTTTTTGCCCCCTCTTCAGCATCGATAACACACTGCAAGATATCTCTCCCCGAGACACAAACTCTCGCATCCAGAATTTCCTTTGTGAAATTCCAATCACATCCTTCACGCTGAGGAAGAAGTTCCTGAATGGAGAGATCGAAAACATATGAATTGAGAGTTTTCATCGAACCCTCTTTGCGACTTTCATAGCGAAGGACCTAGACAGAATACCAAGGTTAGTAAGTAATATTGAATACAGATAAAAAATGGAAAGCCACTCACAATAGATGTATCAGCCGATGAAGAAATTTCATTTCCGCTGATTAAACCTTGATACCTGGTCCATATGACCTCGAGTCCTTCATCACTCCCACATTTATAGCCAATCTTTACTGCAAATGCAATCTTGATTGTTAAACATAGACTTTGAGTGAGATATTGATGGATCATATCATAACCCGCATGATCTGTCTGTGAATGTTCGACTTCCAGAGCAAGAGAAGGACAAAGTTCCTTGTTTATTTTCAATGCAACATCGGCACATCTCTTCTCTATCTTCTCTTCCTCATCGAGACACAGTATTGATTGTTCTGTATCAACTTTTATCTCCAATCCCAATTCAGAGGCTTGCTTTCCGAGTGAAGAGAGCGTTTTGTCAGCAGCCTGCTGGATTGCTCTGCGGATGTTATCTCTTGTTCCATTGTGAATGGGTCCCGGGATACCCATCCTGAGCCAGCCTTCTTGATATGAATGCGCAATATGGTAACTACAGAATTCGAAGGGTTAGAGCTATTATCAAACTGTCTTTCTCAACTATATACTCAAATTAACTCACCGATATCTTACGGCCTCCCAATCTTCCCGCGTCAAATTCTGCTTGACTGTATCAACAATATGGATGATGTCCTCTCTTTCAATCCTAAACTCCTGAGCTGGTCTCAGATACTTTCTTCCGTCATCTGCCTCATCGAAACACCAATATGGATTGATTGTTGTGTCTTTAGGCAAAGGTGTATTGTATGATCTCATGCGTTGTGCACAAAACATTATAAGGTCAATAATTGCCGTACAGAGCTGCGAGTTTGGCGATGATGATACAGCACCGCAATTTGATTTGTTAAAACTTTCCCGGAGAAGCTCTGATTCGGATGTTGATGAAACCATTGGAGAGGAAGTAGGTAAAAGATCCAGACTTGAGGAAGTCTGGGGTTGTTCTTGAGCAGATGTCGATGGATCCCGAGTCGGGATCGAAATTAATGACATGTCTTGAGTTTGTGATAAAGAATCACGATTGCTCATCATCTTGTTCTTATCAAACTTGTGTTTTTCTTTCAACTGGTCGAACATCTTCCTTAGTTGATTGCTTGATTAACTAGTCTGTGGCAATGATGATCAAGGCCTTCTATCATATGTAGAGGAAGTTGAACGTCGAACGATGAGATGATGGTGTTGAGAATGGGCTCGGGAATGCATATATAATAACAGTATACGACAACAGCTAATGGTGATTCATCATATCCACTTGCATGTGACATGTAGCACTACAAAAAAGACGCTAGTATCATTGATTCACCAAAATATCAGGTGAAGATGAGTCCGAGTGTTGACCTTTAAGAGTATAACAAGGGTCTATGAGACCGTAGATGAAGGCTAGTGTCACGAAAACAAGTCATTCATAAAAACATTGTTCTCAATATTTATTCGAAACAACTAGAAACTCAATATTTGAGTCGAATCAACCATAAGCGTATCAAATGTTGCATTCAGTGATGTTCGGAGTGAATTTGAACACCCGAAAATGACCCGAGATGAACTCCTTGTTGTCTCCCCCTTCCCCGGATATTCATAAGGCTTAGGCTGTCAATCATTAAGCTAAGCACAGGATAAGATAAGGTTGTCGTCATTTCTGGTCACTAAAGCACGTGATTATAAACATCGTATCACTGATGTATGATAAGATTATGAAAAACGGTGTTGCTACGATGCGTATCTTCTTTCTTTCCCAGACTTAGCCAGAGATTACCTGAAATATTATTGCCTTTTCATTATCTATCATACATAAAATACCAAAGACCTTTTTGTTCTACTCGTCGTACTCGATAATACGCCAGTATATCTCAGCGAAATGGTAAAAGAGGTTGGCCCACCGAGGCATTAGTAGACGAATTATTTCAGCGACAACACTACAATCCATTGGTACACCTGGTGCTACAGATGTCTCGAATTTATACTAACATAACTGCTCAGGGAAGCTCAAGACACAGGAGATACTGTGCACATTGAGGCCGAAATATTAGAGGTCTCCAAGAATAATAACTATTTTCTCGAAGCACAACAAGTGATGCCGGTGACGGAATCTTTAACATCAACGAAAGTCACTCAACCCAACTGATATCACCGCCTATACTTCTACCACTCTTATGGGCTTTCTGCCTCTATAAATGCTCACGTCGGAGCTGTCCCGTTTTGAGTGGTTGTTCAACTTGTTCTTCCGCTTCATTGTCATCGTGCGAAAAACACGGTAAAGATGGGTCTAGCAATTGCCGATGGTAAGCCTACGATCAACCGACTGGGAACCTCATTGTGATGGCCAGATATGCGCCTCTTGTTCACTTGAGTCTTTTGATCCTTCAGAGTTCGAATCGCATTTTATGAAGGCTGTGAAGCTTTTCCTGTATGCTATATTTTTCAACTTAGAGATTCTGAGATTGGTACTGGCCTCAGTAATTATTGGTCCACCAGTGGGTGCATGGACTGACGGGACACTTCCCAATTTTCAATATTTTCCATAAATTCATTCTTCAATTGTTTGATATCAGAATCTGTATTTTGATTGTCTTATCTTTATTCAAGAATTACAACAAGTCTTACAATAAATGATTCAATATATCAAAAAATATTTACAAGTTTATTCTTGTATTGTCCCGTGAGTCCATACACCCACTAGTGGTCTTGGGAATAGAATTTACTTATTGAAATAGAGATCAGTACTTTCCATACCTGTACCTCTTTAGACTGCTACTAAACTCTGCCTCATATCCAAAGTATTTTAGAAGTAAACTTTCGGAGTTGTAATGTAAACTCGAGATCCGACTTTCTCGATATACTAATCGACTGATTATATTTAGACTCCATAATGAAAGCCTATTATTCCTTTCAATTTCAATAAAGTCGGTGATATATTCAAGTTGCTGATATAAATTTACTAATTTGAAGTTGTTAATATCTAGATATTCCTCATGATTGTTGCTTAAACTATATGAAACTCTAAATAATTGATATATATAAGATAGTTATATATACATATATATATATATTCTTCGCTAAACCTTGAAATTTATATAATAATATAAATATAAGTATAGTCAATCAGTTAGTTAATATTTTTACCAATGTTTCTATAATTTCTATAAGTTTTTTGATAATAATAATTATTAGATAAATTAATTATTTTCCTTGTTCTTTTTGTATTTATTAATTAATCAAATACTATAAATCAATCAATAGGAATTTATTTATAAATAGATTAATTAAATTCTTTAAAATCTAATTACATTTGATTTCCCTTGTTTCTCTTATTTTTCTTTTCTTATTTTATTCTTTTTTCCTTATATCCCATTATTATTATTTTCTAATATCAATAGATAGATAATCCCGATCTCTTATTTAAACTTCTAATATCTAGATTTCCTCATATCCGAACCTTTTATTTATACTTCTCGCAAACCCAAAATTCACAAATCTAGACTCTTCAAATCTAGATCCCCTAACAACCTCTGAACTAGTATTATATGTTTTACTGATATTACAAAATATCTAAGGTCTTTAGGGTTAAATATATATATTTAGAATCTAAATTTTTTTTGAAATTTAATAGTGTCTTTGCTTTTTTGCTAGTGTTATTCCTTACTAAGTTCTATTTTTAGAATTTTTATTAGTATTACAAAATATCTCGCTTGATATTTATCGTAGGTCATAGGCTAGTAGTATAGTATGGAATCTAGCTCGGTTTAACAACTAAAATGGATTATATAAGCAGTGTAACACGTGATATTAAAGAATCTGTATATCGATATTCAATTTCTTATTTTACATTTAATAGGGAAAAGATCTTATTTTATGCTTTTTCCTACTAATCTAGCTTTCCCGCTTTCGTTAATCTTTTGCAGATCTCTTCCTAATCCGGCCATTCTGTCGAAATAAAGCTCTTTTTCTTATTCTTTATTTCGTAGTCTGTTTTCGGATTTATGACCGTTTTCGGATTTATGGCTGTTTTCGAAAGCTTATAATCGACGATCATGTGATTTGATTATATAATACGCTCATATTAGGTTGAATGCTTTCAAAAGATATATATATATTATATTATCTTTTATTAAAACAATAATAATATTTAAATATAAATTTGATTATATTTTTATAAATAATTTTATTAAAAGTGAATAAAATTATAAAGATATACTTTAGAGATATAATAACTTAATAAAAGTATTCTTTATAATATTATTATATTTATGTAACTTTATTCAAAATTATTATTAACTAATTTATTTATAAAGAATTTCTAGAATTAATATATTAAAGTTTTTAACAAAAAAACTAAATCTCAATAATAAAGAAATACAAAATAATTTTTTTTTAATTTAAAAATAAATTATTAGTTTTCTTTTTTGAAATATTAAAGTATTATTATTATAAAAAATTTGTAATTATAAAATCAAATTAATATCAAATAAAAAACTATTTTATTTCAAATATCAATTATTATTATTATTGAAATTCAAGATAATTCAAAAATGGATTAATAATAATCTCTTCAAAGAATTTATTTGAGAATCAAAATTTTATAACATAATATTACTTCTTTTAATAAAAAAATCAAAAAGTGGAATCTATATTTAATAAGATTATTAAAAATTACATAATATTATAATAAAAAATTATTATTTTTTATTTTTTATATATGAGATTCTTAATATATTATATAATACTAAAATTTATTTCAAATCGAATAATATTATTATCTTTAATAAATTTTATATTATAAAAAGAAATAAATGGAAAATAGTTTTTATTATATGTTTTAGATTATTCAAGTTTTTATTATATCTTTTGAGTTATATAATATATTAGTATCTTTTTAATATTATATTAATTGTATACTTTCCAATAAGTTTGATAAATATTATATAATATATTTTAATAATATTTTTATTTATTTCAATAATAAAACAAAATATAGGGAATATATATAAATAATTATTCATAAACTTATTAATATAAATTTATAGATTAATATTAATAAATATAAATTTGAAATAATATTTATATAATATTTAAATCTAATTATTATTATAAATAATATCAATATGGATATTGATAAAGTTAAAGTAATTATATTTTGGAAGTAATTTTTTTTGATAAAGAATTTATAATAATTTTTAGAATTTATTAATTTTTATTAATAATTTATAAAAGACTTTTCAAAAATCTATTATTCTTTAAATGATTTATTATATAAAAATATCTTTTGAATATAGAATTAAATGTATAAGAATATTTTCGAAATATTAAAGTAAATTTTTATAATTATATTTATTCTTATATATTTTGATTATAGTAAATATACTATTTTAGAAACTAATATTTTAAATTGAACTTTTAAGAAAATGTTTTTTTAATATAATAATAAGAATATCTTATAATTAATAATCCATTTTCTATTAAAATATTTGATAATAAAATATAATTATGAAATTTATAATAAAAAGCTTTTAACAATAATTAAATTAATAAAAGAATAATAATCTAAACTTTAGAGTTTATAATAAAAATTCGAGATTTTTAGAAACTATAAAAATTTAGAATATTTTATTATAACAAAAACCTTGAAGCAATAACAAATTAAATAATCTGAATTTTAATTTTAATATAATTTCTGTATTATATATAAATCAGATATAAAAGCTATTTATTTAAATATTTTGAATTATAAATAGAAAAATATATTAAATCTTTTGAATTTTAATAACAAATGATTAAAGAATAGAAAAAGAATAATCTTATTAATATAGAGATTTAATAATATTTACAAATAATAAGTTTATTAACAAATTAATTAATAATATTTATATAAAATCTAATATAGTATATTAATTAATAATAGTAATTAGAGATCTATATATATAGAAATGGCTAGTAGAATTCCGAAAGATTATAAGAATTCCGAAAGATTATAAGAATTATTATATAGAATTATAGAG